ACCTCTCTGCCTTCCCTCACCCCTACCCCACCCCTCCCCCATGCTCGGGTCCTGACCCCTGACTGTCCAGCGTCTTGGGATGTCCTTCCGACGTGAAAGGCGCTCTATAAATGTAATTTTATCGTTGTTGTTGTTCTGGGCCTGTCATTTCTACGATGCTATTACAATTGGATTAAATCACAAGAGAGGTTCCATGAGGAAGGTAAGTTTGACCATTGGATCTCCTCCTTCCAGCACTTTGCTAGCATCAAACTGTTTCTTGAATGAGTCCCAGCTTCTTGGCTTTGACCACCTATCTTAATGATTAATTGCACCTATTTGTGTAAGATTACTCCTAGAGTCTTTGCTCATTGTGTCCTTGACACGCCTGAACCTGTGAGCTCCAGCTACACTCGAGGAGTTAGTGGGACCCACGCAGGATGTCAATCACAACACTTTACATTGATTCACTCTCAGAGTAACAATGAGAGTTAACTTGGTACTTGTGTGTTTAGTGGCATAGAAGTTGCCAGGGAAATGTGACTGAAACAGTATTTTTTCATCGTGCACATATTCTGTGTTGAAGCAAACCAGCAATATCATGGAGTTTTGTTGCTACAATAACAGTAAACAACAACTTTGTTTTTTACATGTGGGTTAAACGTCTTGAAGACAATTTTCTGAAAAGATCAGTTCCTTGCAATTTGCACCTTTTGACTAACAGAAAACTGGCTTCAAAATATTAAGAATGGCAATTTCAGGACATGGCAAAATGGTATAAATGGAGCGAATAACAGATACAAGTGGAATTTCTCAACAAATACATAATTTGAAATACTTTGAGATGTTCTGATGTGATAAGGCAATGTATCAAATCTGGACTGGAATAGAAAAACTTAGATTGATTGAAATTTGGAATTTTATCGGTGAAACCAGATGCTGTTAGTGAGTGTAGGATTGATGTCAGCCCAGATCTTTATTGACAGCTGTCACCACAAAGCTAACATTTTAACAGTGAAAAGGTTAACTTTAACAGCTCCTAGAAGACCCTTGAGTTGTCTTTGTAATGTTATTACAGAAGGGGGAGAAAATATTCAAGATTCACCATATTTTTAATAATATTACAGATTGTTTGTTGAGAAACTGCTTTCAAATAGAGAAATAACCGTTATCCAGAGTCAACCTCCCAAAGGTTAATGAACGTCAAAAAAGAAGTCCTTTTCACATAATCTTTTAGTCATCACTATTAAAACCTCTATCAGCAAATTACCATAAACTATGGTAAAGAATAAAGCCTGCAATGTGTAATATGTTTTTGGAAGCGAATATAAGAAGAAATCTGACTTAAATCCACTTGGAAGCCAGACCCACCTATAATGCAATTGACCCCCCCCCCCCCCCCCCCCACTCAGAGACAGACAGCTGTGCCCACTCTCCGGCCAGCTGTGCCCACTCTCCGGCCAGCTGTGCCCACTCTCCGGCCAGCTGTGCCCACTCTCCGGCCAGCTGTGCCCACTCTCCGGCCAGGCGGTCAGATTAGCTCCGTTACAGTCAAGTCGATCTGTCCAGACAGAAAATTCCACTAAAACTCATGTGGTTCCACTGTCAGATTCAGAGTATTCAGTTATTGCAATGAGCAGCTGCGCAGACCCCGGGCAAACCCTGGGCAGACCCTGGGCAGACCCTGGGCAAACCCTGGGCAGACCCTGGGCAGACCCTGGGCAGACCCTGGGCAAACCCTGGGCAAACCCCGGGCAGACCCCGGGCAGACCCTGGGCAAATAGAGATAGAGAGAGAGACCATGGCATATGAACATCTCTAAATCGTTAATTGTGATGTCAGGTATATGTTTAGATAATGAATAATTGCGGATGTTTTTAATGTCCTGATTGCTTTATGTGTTTAAATGCGGGGGGTGGGGGGGGGGGGGGTGGAGAGTGGGGGGAGCGCATGGAATGGTTTATTATTATATACAAGATTTGCGGCTAAAGATTGGATGTTTGTAACTTTGCTGAACTGCAGTCACAGCTTTGCTCTCACTTTATTGTGATGATGTCTTTGCGTTTCGAAGCTGATGATGGTGACTCCGGTAAGAGTCGAACTCACATCCGCAACTTCCCGGAGGAATATTGTGAGGAGGAGGGGTTGGGGGGGGAATGTGTGTGTGTGTGTGAGAGAGAGAGAGAGAGGGGAGGGAGAGTGGAGAGAGAGAGAGAGAGGCAGAGGGTGTGTGAGGGGCGGTGAGAGACACACACACACAGAGCAGAAGCAGGGATGGGATGCAGGTCAGTGTCACTCTGTGAGCAGAGAGTGAGCATTCTTTCTAGAGTCAACCTGTAATGAGACAGGAGAGGTGAACAGAGAGAGAGAGACCTGGAAAGTTTGAGATATAGAGAGCTGCTTATTGTGTAATTTGCTGGCAGCCGCTGGAGTGATTGATGATGGACAGTTTCACCCCACAGAGCTCGGCTGTGATCCTCTGTTGATGCTGTGCTGTTATCAGCAGAAGCCTCTCATAGTGGCTGGAAACAGCTTCTCAGCAGCACCTGTAAGTACTGTATATTTATTACAACGTTATGCCCACTGGTGACTTCAGTAGCAATGAGCTTCCAAAAAAAAGTGAATGAGAAAGATAGTGTAAATCTGAATGGTTTTATTCTTCTGTGCCATTTTACCAAACTATGATTCCGCTCATGTTGGGATGAACTGCAAATGTAGGGTTTAGAATTGTGGAATCCTGTAGCATGTTGGTTAAGAGTGTTCGCGACGTGTCTACTGATGCTGAGAGAGCTGCCCAGGACTGAGGTGGAATGTATTCAGGTGGGATTAAGTGGCTCAATCTGCACAGTGGAATCAGAGATTGTTGTAGCACAGATACGAGGCATTGAGTTCATAATATTCGTGCATTTTGCAGTGCCTTATCCCATCATTCAGACACCTCAAAGTGTTTCACAGAATATACTGTAAACTGAATTGACTGTATATTTTGTGGACGAAATTCTGCAGCGTCCCACAAACAGTCGTGGATTGAGTGACCAAATTATTATTATTTTTTGGGATGAGATTATTACTCCCCGAAAGCGATCTGCCAATCAGCTAACTAGCGGGTTCTTATTCAGTGCCAGGTAAACAGAGATATGTGGAGTAAGGAAATGTGGAATCAAGTCTGTGTTGGTGATATTATAATAATAATAACCCTTACATTTGATATAGCACGTTTCACGTCTGCAAGACGTCTCAAAGCGCTTCACAGAATAAATCTCCACATGAACCACCTCGTCTAATCTAACTCTCCTGCTTACTTTCCCAATCCCTACAATATTATATTTAAAACTAATTTAATACAGCATTCAAAGCTCTGATTTTCCCCAGTATTGAAGAGTGGAATTAGGAATTGAGTGGGGTTTCTGCTCCTCTGTGGAATTCACTATGAACAGAGATTGGAGGAACTGAGACTTCTTTCCACTCGAACAAAGAAGGTTGAGGGATGAACCTAATAGAGGTTTTTAAAATGATGAGGGATTTTGATAATCAGTAAAGAGAAATTATTTCCACTGGACATCAATTTAAGCTAGTTAGCAAATGGGGAGATTTGTGTTTCATGCACAGTGTTGTTAGGATATGAAATGCCCAGCCAGGAGTGATGTGAGGCAGTATCTATTATGAGCTTTCAAAAAAGCAACTAGATAAATATATATCAAATAAAGAGTAAACTACTGGGTTATGAGGTAAAGGAGGGTAAATGAGCCTGAAAGGATCGCTCCTTAAAAGTGCTGGCACATACGCAATGGGCCGAATGGCCTTCTTCTGTTCTGTAAATTTCTGTGGTTCTATAAACCACCTTCAATGAAAGCATGCAAGCAAAAGCCAGACTTGTTACGCGCACATACAACAAACACATACACACACAACAAACACATACTCATACAACAAACACATACACACACAACATACACACAGAGTGTGGATCTGAGTCTTGCCAGACAGTACACTCCGGAAGGAGTTAGATAACCTCTTAAACTGCCAAAGTGGGTCTCAAGTAGTTCATAGCAGCAAATGCAAATCACTCAAGTCAATCTGATATTTTTATAATAAAGTTAACTAAGATATTATTGGGTGTATTTTCACTCTGTGTTTAATCTGCTTGTTTTACCAGTGGCTGTTGTGTGATGGCAGATCACATTGAGAACTTATTGATTGTCATGTCAGTCGCACATTTAGCAATTGGTCTGCATAGTCTGACAAACATTCCTGCTTAGACTAACAGCAGGAAAAGGCACAATCAATGTCTGCTCTATAAAAAGTCCAGTGCTTACTGAAGTCGAGGCTTCCCTTGTGAGTTTATCTATGTTGGAAATGATAGCTTCACTGCTTGTGGAACATTGCTGTATCCAAATTGGCTGCCATGTACACCTACAAACACATAGTCACTACACTTTGCAGTTAAAATCTATGAAGCACTTTGAGATATCTCGATGACATGATAAGACGCTATATCAAATGCAAGGATTATTGCTATTGTTGTCATCTTTGGCATTGAAACAGAAAGCCTTTTTGAAAAAAGTAACTTTGCAAGCTTTGTTTTGTTTATAATTTATTAATTTCATCGCATGAAACTGCATTCTTATTTTATTTGTAATGATCCTCAGTGAGGACTGAACACACTTGGCAACTGGAGCTCATCAGTCCTCAGAAAAGAAATGTCTCTGTGGGAACTTTATAGAGGTATTTAAGATTCTAAATGGGATCGAGAAAGTAAACCCACAACAACAATCTCATACATAGCGAGGCAAAAGGCCTTCTTCATCCCAAGGTAATTTGGCTGCCGCATTTCGCCCACAAATATACAGTCAATTCACCTTACAGTATATTCTGTGAAGGGCTTTGAGACGTCTAGAAGATATGAAAAGCACTATATCAAATGCAAGGATTATTGTTATTAAGACCACTCGTGGAAACTTTGTCTTCAAATAATGTATTTTTGTAACACAGAGGCAGATCCATCTATTCCAGAACCTAAGATGGAAATGAGTTCAACTGAGAATATAGACTTGGGTGTACGGTCCTGTTCAGAGTCAAACGATCTCCTGACCAGCCAGACGGTGAGTAGCTTCTATGGCAGCTCCCGAAGTGAATCCCTGTGGGCCTTGGAGCGCCGGAGTGCCTGGGAGATTTATCACAAACCCATCATCGTCATGTCTATTGGAGGGGCGTTTTTTCTTGTTGGGTGTGTACTGACCGGCTTGTATTTTGCTGACATCACCAAGAAAACATGCAATGTGCTGGGACCCGCGGCTCTGTCCATTGGTCTGATGTTCCTGGTTTATGGATTGGTCTGGGTTCCGATCATCAAAGAGAAGAGACAACAGAAGTCAATATCGAAATTCTACAGGAATCAAAAGATGTCCTTTATCCACCTGTGAGAAGTGATTAAGCGGATGGTACTTACTGTTCTGTCAAACTAATGGCATCCACAATGCTAATTGTCACTGTGAGTCAGAGGTCACTGTGAGTCAGATGTTTACCTGATGAAAGATTGGGTGTTAATTACCTCAATTCTGCAAGTATTTCCTTGAAACCAATGAAATCAGGACATGAGATACCGAACAAGGTCCTGGTCAGTGATGGAGACTTGGCCCATTGAGCTGAATTTGTGCTATGAGTGGGTTTAGTTAAACATTGAGGATTTGGTGGATTGCATTGCATGGCTCATCAGAGCAGATCATCTGTAAGTGTAAAGCTCTTGAAGCCATGAAAGTCTGGAGACCCTGCATATTATTACTTGATCAAACAATCTGACAGCTAAGGGTCATCATTGCCTATGTCAATTTCATTGTAAATATGGGAACAGTTAGCCGTATCCACGGGCCATCTGGCAATGCTGCTTGTTTGTGATATGAACAGCTATGGTGTATCCTGGGGGATCATTTGCAAAAGTGTAACTTTTGCTCAATCAATTGGACTTAACTGCATTTAGCAAGCGCATGCTCAGTTTATTAATCTCTGAAGCCAACTGGGTCTGGAATAAGAACTGCTCATTGTTACATCAGCCAATGATAAATTGCACACTACGTTTCCGGCATAGAGCACATCACTGTCAACTTAGCACATCGCAACCCTTAAACATTGTTCTTTCCCACAAGTGTGCACAATCCAACCCACGGATTCCCTGTTTCTTTGAAGCTTGCGAGTTGCTACTCAGTTAAACAAAGTAGAAATCCTGTCAATCCATTTTACTTGTAAGAACCCTCCACTCCACCATTGGGGGCTGAAGCCCAGCCACCTCACCCTCTCCTCTGGTATTCTCTAACAGCACATTGCCTCATTTCCTCTCTCTCTCTATGCCTTTGAATTCACTGAAGAAGGTCAACACTGTCGATTCTCTTCACCAGTGCCTTTGCTCACCTCTAAACTCTTCACTTATTTGGTGACTGCTGCTCCATCATTAAGTACAATGCAAATACAAGTTGGACTCTAATAATAATAATAATCATTGCATTTTGATATAGAACTTTATAACGCTGTCGGAATGTTTCAAAGCACTTCACAGAATATGCTGTAAATAAACTGTAAAATTGAATTGACTGTATATTTTGTGACTGAAACACAGCAGCCAATTGTGCACAGCAGCGTCCACAAACAGTCCTGGATTGAATGACCACATTTTTTAAAAAAGGGATTATTATCCTCGAAAAGTGATCCACCAATCAACTAACAATCGGGTTCCTACTTACTGCTCGGTGAACAGGAGCGTGAAGTAAGGAAACGTGCCATGTGTGTACCTCAGTGATTCCTAGAATTGATGGGGAAAAATATTATTATCTTCCCAACTTCAAACAGTAGCCTTGCCTTTAAAACATGCCTCAGCTGGTGCTCTGCATGTACTGAGCGATTTTATCTGAATTTCCCAATTCAGCTGAAATGGAGCTGCTTTAATTGTATTCACAGGTGAGGACAGGAAAACAAAAGCTTTACAGGTTTTCAATACAAAGGAAAAACATTTGAATGGGGATAACTTTCAATTTTAAAAAAAGGAATTTTAAAAATGTTTGAAAACTCACCGATTGTGTGTGTGTTTGTGTGTGAGTGTGAGTGCGCATAAAGTTGTGAGGAAGTTTTTGGATCGCCCTGAGTTGAATTTCTCCCAATCCCAAATAAAAAAAAACACGGGATCTGCGTCACGGGAAACCAGAGCGAATTAAACTTTCTGTGCGCATTTCCCCCCAAACCCTTTCCCGGGGATCAGGAGAGGATGGCGGTGCGCGGTGTGGGTCGATGCCCAATGGTCTTCCTGTTGGCTTTGGCTCTGGATGTGGTTGGTTTAACGGTACTTTTCATTGGTGTTTTTGCCGACGTGCGGATGGCCGGCAGAGCCCTGGGGGATTGCTTGATTTACAGCGGGGCCATCGGGATCTTCCTGAGTCTGGTCGCTTGGCTGTTCTGGTTCACGGGTAACATCCAGGTGTCCTTGGAGCAGTTGGAGAAAGACGCTTTGGCCACTCGCACCAAGTTGGCCAGAAGGTTTTCAGACGGAGGCCATCAGCTGCCGCCGGCTAAGGTGGTGGGGTTGGGATTGGGGGAATTGTCCACAACCATAAACTGGGAATTGTCCAAACAACTGCTCCAGATCCCCCGGGACGCAGAGAAACAGCCAAGATTCGTGGAGCTGAGGAGCGTCAAGGGCTTAGATCACCTGCGCTCTGTCCTGCAGCAGAATGGAGACAGAGCCTTGTGAACAGTAAGTCCCTTTCCCCCCTGACAGGGAGCTGCACTGCAACACAAGAGGTTTATTTGAAAGTGGGGGAAATTTCCCTCGATTTATAGGAAACCCAAGGAGTCTGGAGTGAATATCAACAGCTTCACTGCAGGAATGTATAGTATCTGAGATTTTATAAAGTGTTGGAGAATTATATAATAATAATAATATAATCTTTGCATTTGGTGTAGTGCCTTACTACCCAGTCATTGAGATGTCTCAAAGTGCTTCACAAAACGTAAACTGATTTTCAGAATGATGATTGTGTTAGTTGGGTATAGATGTACTACATCAATAGAACATGATTTTAACTTGTGAAATCTTGGTTAAAATCATTTCCAACCTGGTTTAAACTCTCAGGTGAATTAACAGTTAAATTCTACAATAATAATGCTTGCATTTGATATAGTTTCTTATCATGTCATCGAGACATCTCAAAGTGCTTCAGAGATATACTGTAAAGCGGATTGACTGTGTATTTCATGGGCAGAATCATGTTTATGAGGCTGGACCTTGTAGGTATGAAGCAGTTTGGAATACTGAGCAATTGGATGATTTACCTCCAGCTGTAGTGTCAGCTGCACTCTATTGGTAACTACTAACCTTCTCCTGTTTCTATGGTCAAAGCTATTTGCACCAGAATGCATCTCACCTGGTACTTTTTAAAGTCTGCATTAAACATTATTGTTTAGGTGACCGCAGGAAACCTGTATTGCAAGGAAACCCAAGCTGCAGCAAAGCTGAGTCAGCCCGTGGTAATCATTAGCTCAGGGAACACATTGGCAGAATTGGCACTGAGTTAATATGAGATAATAATTATTATTTATTATCATTATTATGCGACAAAATACTACTTAAGAAGTAGTCCTGTAACTCAGTGGTTAGAGCATTCGCTTTGCAAGTGAGAGACCTGAGTTCAATTCCAGGCAGAGGGCGAAACCTTGGGCAAGTTTCCTTACTCCACACAGAGCCTAATAATAATCCCTCCAAAAAAACAAAACAATAATAAATTGGTCATTTTCAATCCATGACTGTTTGTGGGACACTCCTGTGCGCAATTGGCTGCCGCGTTCGCACACATATACAGTCAATTCACTTTACAGTATATTCTGTAAAGCGCTGTGGGACGTCTAGAAGACGTGAAAAGTGCTACATCAAATGCAAGGATTATTATTAAGAGCACAAGATTTACACTGTTTAGGTGCACAGCTGTTTGTTTCTTTCACTCCAGCAGTACCTTGATGTTATCTCTCTGATGTGATATTTTTTGTCCATGTAGGTTGGCGGGGGGAGGAAATAGCACCTAATTTGCCCCCAGGCTTGTACCCCAAACTTGCCATTCTTGAGATCACTGATAATGTTCCTTTGCAATGCCTCCCTTTGGAACTAAAGACCCATTTGCTTTAAGCAGAGATACATGTTACCTGGCTTAACTTGGCAGCTTTCAGAGAAATTAGTTCCATTAAGTGCATCCACTGTAATGATTTATTCAAATTTTATGATGTGCTTTTGACATGCAGGTGAAGGTACCAACTCCCCAGCACATTTTGTATCGCTTAATGGTTCCTCAAAATCAATCCATTTCTATAATGCCTTGGATTTTGCTGCCAAAGCTCAATATTGAGTTATTTGACCTGTCTTATTATTGAGTCTTAAGTGCTGAAGTGACTCAGAACATTAGCAATTATCCCAACTATTGACTTTGTCTCTGTGTTTCAAAGGATCTTGGATGCAGAAGAATTGCATCGAAATCCAATGCTCCGATTCCTGTTGTTCCTTCCATTGCACCGCCACACACAACTGGCTTTTTAGTCTGAATTAGTGATGGAGCTGTTGGTATCGAGAAGATCGTCAGCCAGGACGGCAGATATGGTACCAAGTTAGGTGGACAAGACAGTTTGACATCTTCAGTGTAGCATCCTCCAGCACTGCACTGAGTGACCAGCCTAGACCAAGAGTTCAAAACCTCCAAAGGTTGAACCCACAACCTTCTTGCCCTGAGCTGTGAGTGCTACCAGACTGTAACAATACATCACATTGCACTTAGAAGGTGTTGAGACGGACCTGTCAATGTTGAAGGTTACAGATTCCCTTCTGGAATTCTTATTGGTTACTAATTACATAATTAAGGAAGCCTGTAATTCCATCCATCACATGTGCATCTGTGCATGGTTGATCCAGACCACAAATTAGCCCCAACCTTCACTCCCCCCCACCCCCCACCCAAATACTATGAATCATTACCAAAGTTTAACACATCAAACTGGATTGTATCTTGTGCCTTTGTTGTTCCAAAATCCACAAGTGCTGGTGTCCTGGTTCCTTTGTGAAATCCCAGCGATGTCAAAAAAATTAATAACCAGCACCACTATTGTATAAGCTGCTTGTCTATTGGATGCAACAATTAAGATTAAGGCTCAATTCTTTTGCCAAAATAAAGATTCTCAGTGTTCATTGAATTCTGTCTTGGATCAATTCTTGGGGCCACGTAACATTTGTACAGATATTCTTGTTGATGCTCTCACATGACTGGAGCAGTGTTTATGGCTGCCCTTTGTACCAGAGGTAATTTATACCACCTTCCCAAACTGTGTGGTGTGTTTAAAGTTCAAACATTAATGAAGAGTTGTCCAGAGTAAAAAAAATACACCATTATGTTCCTAAGTAAATAAATACGCCCCAAAACTTTGGAACACTCTTCCTCTATCCCTCCACCTTGCCCACTCCTTCCCCATCTTTAGATCACATCTAAAGACCTTCCTCTTCAACCGTGCCTATGATCACCTCGACCTCCCCCAACTCGGCATTGGACTCCGTCACTGTCAAGCGCTCTGGGACGCTACTCTACATGAGGGGTGCTGTGTAAATGCAAGTTGTTGTTTGTGACTTGTGCTAAAGTTGTTATAATTGATTATTCCCTCAGTTTGTGGGACATTGCTGTGTGCAAATTGTCTGCCACACTCAATCACTTTACAGCATATTCTGTGAAGCGCTTTGAGACATCTGGATTACATGAAAAGCACGATATCAAATGAAAGGATTTTATTTATTATTGAGGCAAGACTGTTTTGTACTCGAGTTTTCATTTCTCTTTGGATTATTCCAGATGGTTTAAATGCATGAGCACAACAACGCCCCAGAACAAACTGTATTTCCTCTTTTTTTCAAAAAAACAGATAAAGAACCCCTGCTCGGTTTCTATGAAACCAAAGTGCATCGCAATGATTTATTAAACATTAACCTGGTCTAAACTGCCTCTCGTTCAGGTCCTGGGGCTGAAAGAAACCAATTGCGTGAATGTGGAGAATGTTATGGTTATGAACAAGTCAAACACACTGAGTTGCAGACTTTCATCCCTGAGGTTGAAGGTCTTAATTTCCTGATTTTTATTTTGTTTGGGTTTTTAACCCCGAGACTTTATTTTTAATCAATTTTAAGCCACTGTCATGTGACTGTTGCTTAATTGATGATTTTATCTCGTTCCTCAAACGCAGGTCGCGGTATGAGATTCTGTGTGGCGAGTGAGCAGCTTCAAACGAAAGAATAGAAAAGCGATTTCTACAAATTTTTTTGCATAAATTTCGCTCGAGCTGCATTTAGCTTCCAAAACTTGAGAGCCTTGCCTGGTGCTTATTATTTCTATTTTTATTACCCACGACCGCAGCTTCTCATTTCCCACCAATCCTTTTGAGAAAAGGGATATTGTTTACTGTGTTATTGCCCTTACACCAATCTTATTGGGAGCCAGCAGTCAGCACCTTATCACATTACAGAGGCCTATTTACTTTAGATTAATGTGTAAGCCATTAACCTTAATGCTTTCTTTACTTGAACCTGAACCTGTATGTTAAGTGAAACCGAGTTCACTCCTGGTCCTACCATCATGTCCTCCGTGTTGAGCTTTTTTGTTTTTAGACCTGTGACGAGAATAACTTGTGACAATAAAGTTTCTGCTTCCAAACATTTTGAATGGAGAGTTGTGTTTCAATATCTGGACCATTTACCACGCAACCTGGTGGTCAGGCTCACCATGGAGTAGCGACATTGCCAGGAATCACCAGTGATGTGACATGACCAAAGAAACATTGTGTTTTGGCAACACATCAACAGAACCTGGAACAGCCTCTAATATAATGTGAACTTGTGATGGTTTCAGACCAGAATCTTTACTGGGATTTTCAGGGCACAATGAATGAAATGTGGATTCAGCAATGAGTCAGTAAATGATGACGGTCAGAACACTTTTAATAGATGAAGAATATCAAGTTGATCCCACATTAACACACCAATATCCCATCTCCCTATCCAGGTGGCTGCCAAGGATCATGAGACCTCGGTTTAATGTCTCATTCAAAAGACTGTGGCTCCAACAGTACAGTACAGTACAGTACAAGACCCGAAAAGTTGACTTACTTTCCTTTCTCCATAGATGCTGCCTGACCTGCTGAGTGTTCCCAGCGACTTCTGTTTTTGTTTCAGATTTTGAGAATCTGCAGTATTTTGCATTTTGCTCCCTCAATACTGTGGTTTTAATACGATTGCACAATAAGTTTGAAAACTGGTTTGAAAAATTCTGAAGGTGGAAAAATGCTGCTATTATACTCTTTGCTGACGTGTTTACGTGGTTGGTTTACAAAAGGCAGCTTGTCAAAGCCCAGGAAACAAAATTTAAATGTGCAGATTGCGTGTGCCAGTGAGATAACAAGCCATGGGCAGTTTGTTAAATGCAGACAGAATACCTTAGCAAATCCTTTGTGTAATCGAGTCACGTATCCAGTAAAGCATGTGTATAACGCATTCATTACAATTGCCACATGAATGCCATTACTTTGTTGCCTCGTCTTTTTTTGCGTGATCTGCACAGATTATATTCAAAGGACTGAACTGGCTTCATTCATAAAACTCCCAAGGTCTGCATTGCTGCAGCCGAGCAGAACTGTGCACATGCTGTGATGATGTGGTTTAATTTTCTGTAGCTAAATGTTGACCGTAGCTAAATATAGCTCAAGGCAGACACAATCTTTGACGTAACCACTGACACATGGCCACAATTGTTCACACCCCAGCTGTTGAGTTGTGCGAAGTCATGGTTTGTATCACGTGAAGAGCTTCAAAGGAATTACTATGAAATGGATTTGTAGGCAAACACGGCAGACCAAATTGCGCACAGCAACGTCCCGCAAACAGCCATGAAACAAGTAACTGATTTTATTTGGGGGAAATGTTGGCCGGAACACTAGGAGACAATTCCTTCTCTTTTCAGATTGGCCCATGGGGATCTTTTCTCTTTTCCAGTAGGAAAAGATGGAAAGACAAAGCCTATTCCACCAGTTTATTGGATCCTTCCAAATATATTGATCCCAAATTTGGGCCATATTTTGTTTTGAGACTAATGTCACAGGAGCAGGGTGTATCTAACATCAAAAACATCTTTTAACATTTGTTATTGTTGGCCTCAGGCAACCGAGGTCACCTGTCTCACCCTCTGTACTAGTGTAACTGACATTAGCCAACACAGGCCAGCAGTCAGCCCTGATCTGTAAGCCCCAATATTATACAATGTGATTGTGTGAAAGCTGAATGATGGGGAGATGGTGGGGGAGCTTGAGGGATGGAGAGGGTGGGGGGTTGAGGAGAGAAAGAAAGAGAGGTGATTAACAGAAGTAAATTTTGAATAAGCAAAACATGCACCACCGAACCTGATAATGAAAATGCAGCACTAGCAAAAGTTTGTTTAGGAGTGGCGGGATTTTATCTCATCATCACAGGAAACTGCTGCGCTCTTTGTTCCAAAGCTCACGTCGCCTGGATAGGTGTCAGCAAAAAAAAAAATCCACTTGACAACAATTATCCATAAAAGACATGTCACTGCTACAAGCATTATATTGAATGCAAGAATTACAATTATTAAAGGCCGGTGTACCAGTATAATACCTTCCCTGGCAACCCATCTGAGAGGGTCACAGACACTATTAGCCGTTGATCGACGAGGAGGGAGGAAGAATACAATCCCATAATTCTAATCTTGTAAATCTGGTTCTGTGAGTGAGGGCGTTTCTCGCCTGTCAAAGTAGTTGAGCAATGTTAAATATGCATAATAATGTGATATTAAATGACATGCCCCAGTTCTAAACACAATTGAGGCCAAACAATTCAGCAATGTAATGTTGCACTTGCAGCTGAATCATTCCTTTTCAAATCAGCTGCAAACAGTCTGAAAACAGCCCAGAAATAATAGCAGCAATGCACTAATATATATCCAACCTATACTGCCTACTTATCTACTGGAATTATATAATATAGCTCTAATATAACTACATAACAAATCTCTGTTACATCATTCTTCCTTAAATATTTATCCTACTCCTACATTAGATTGTCATGATAGGATCCAATCTAATGAGTTTGTCTGTAAGAAATCTAGTTCATATTTCACACAAAGCCTTGGCTCTGGGAATATTTTTGGAGACTGGGAGAGAATTCCTCTATCTGCCAAACTTAAATTCTTTACTAAGGAACCAACTTAAGAAATATTGTAAATTAGATCCTCGTCCTACAAAATAGATTTAGTGTATTGCAACATATTCAAACTCTGGAAATCTACCTTGCTAAAGGGAGCTACATAAATACAAGTTGTAATCTTTTCACTAAATAATCCTGTAATGCTGAAACATTACAAAAGCATTTCAACTGTAGTGACTGTTTATTGTTGACAAATGGAGCGGCCAATTTGCTCATAGTCAGGTCCCACAAACAGCCAGAAAGCGAATGATCAATTTATCCAGAGGATTTTTATAAAGTAATGACGCTTGCATTTGCTATAGCACCGATAAAGTCTCAAAGGTATGCCACAAAGTTGCTGTAAAGTGTAGTGACTGTATTTATACACCGATTGCACACAGCAATGGCCCACAAACAACAATGAAGTGAATGATTTTTTTGGAACAGAACCGACTCCATTCTCATTTCGCATAGTACCACTGACATTGCCCTGAATAAACAGCCCAGAACTCTCACCTCTCTGACCCCAGGAATGTTGGGAAACGCAATGAGGCTCAGTGTGGTGGGGGCTGAACCCACAACTTCACAAAAGTTACAAAAAGGTTCGACTGAGAAAATATCCACATTACGAGGAAGTCCCAAAGGTTGGGGTGAAATGATTGGTTTTGCAGGTTCTTGTGGGATTTGCATTTGTGATTCTTTGTCCATTTGTGTAGCTTCACTGAGCAGTTTCACAGTCA